CAAAAACGTATTTACGGAAACTGAACATGACATGAGACAACGTTTCTGCCACGACTTTATTTGGTATTTTCGAATTCTTCAGGGCACTTTATTTTGAACTATTACGTCTGTTATTATGTGTGACACCCAAATTCACTAAACAACGTCACATTTTGAAAATTAAACCATCCAAGTCTTACAATGAAACATAGTTGAGCAGTTCTTGGTGAAGGATTGATTGAGGAGGTTTGACCTTGAAGTGTTGGAAATATTTGCAAGTTGATTTTTAGAATCTGGACAAGACAATTTGACGACATACCAGTCATCCACTTTGGTGAAACTCTTAGCTACTTGTTTTTTCCCGTCGGCGGAAAATGTACACATGGACTAATCAACTGCAGTTGTTTAGAAAGACGGTTTTGCTTGCTCCCGACTGGCATAGATTGAACTAAAATGCTATGACGAATAAATACTTTGTTTATTGTCCGTGCACCCTTCAATGGCAATTTTGTTTGTTTTAAGGAGTTACCTGCATGCTACTTGAAATAGTGCGACAAGAAACTTGTGGTGTCCAATGCAGACGTCATGGAAACCACAAGAGAGCGACTATCGTTTCTTTGCGCACGATAACTGGGCGATTCTCATAAGAGTAAACATCTAGTGCACATGCATGCGGCGTTGATGTTAGTGATTAAAATCGTGTCCAATAAAGACACAACATTTGCAAACCGAACTGACCACAAAAAATATATATGTGCTTTGGCTATTTTGTATTTTCATTGAACACATTTACTAGACCCTTAATGTTTGATACACTACATAATTATGAGACTGATTAGCGTACGGGTTACAAGTAACAATGTTCGTTACAGTGTTCACTGTTGTAGAATAAGGGGCCGGTATACAGCCATCAGTGACGGAAACGGTTAAGTAACTCGGCGAGATTTAAAGTACATGGTTTTTTTACTAAATTATATGTCTTGCTTCTGTTATTTTTGTGACTTTATAAGTCATCCCTACAGTAATTTGTGTCTGATTTCAGAGCCGTCAAAGTTTCCATGCTCTGCCGATGCACAACCTATTAACCAAAGGTACAATCCTCTGCTGGAAATTTTGTTCAAGAGGATGAATGAACAGTTGGCCAATGTGTACAAAACCCTTCTATCGTTAATGGCGGAGAACGACATCACGTTGAATTGAGGTTCCGTGTGCATCCTTTGTCGCGGCATATATGTGTCTTTGTTCACTGATAATCCAAGTTGACGTACTCAAGAGAACTTTGATAGCGCAAACCTTCGACAACTAACCCCTTTCCCTGGATTTTATTCACTTTTGAGAGTGTGCCACTTTTTAAACACATGAATGTTTTTTTAATATTTTTGGACTGCATTCTTTGGATAGAGGAGTTTGGGCCACTCGTGCCAATTGTTTACACCTAAGGACCTAAATTCATTTTGCATACTGAGTGTGCTGGCCGAGTATCGGTCTGTAGTGCTTCATGCGCAGAGTCAGCATGATTTGCGCGGTTACTGGGGGTAGGGGAAATTGCGCGAAATGAACGAAACACCATGAGGTATGGAAGGTGGGTCCGACAGATTGTTCGTGGAAAGTAGTTAAAATTGTTCGAGATCATGGTTTGAATAATTCAGTTATTCAATCTGAAACGGACAATTTCATCCACTAGATGTCACACCTGGTTAAAATTCTCATCACATGTCCAGTTCTCAATAGATTTCATTGATAACACAGGGAAGTCGGCAGCAAGCTTCTTCTTCCATAAGTACCATAAATCGCAGCTGCGTAGCGCCTGCCACCTTGCTGCTTAATTTAAGTACAAATCGGTGATGCTGTTATTTCAAATCAGTCTCATTAAAATAAATGATGTAACGCTGTGGACGAAACGATATAAAATGCCTGGCAAAATCAAGTGGAATTTTTTTGATTGTCCACACCACATGAGGTGGTTAGTTAATCCACTTTCTTTACGTTTCCAATGTCTTCTGTTTGGCCTTCGCAAATAGGTAGAAAGAGAAGTTACTAAGCCCATATCAGTCGAAACAAGGTAGAAGTCCAGCGCCTTTAAAAGTAGACAATTTGTTGCATTAAAGTTGAGTTAGGGTACTTGATGTTGAGATATAACATGAATATTAACCCATTTGAACATAGCAATATCATCATGAAGCTTCTGCTCTGGAATCAGCTGCGACATCTGTGTCCCGAAAGTTCTAATGACATCGAATACATTGCGTTCAAGCTAAAATGAGTTGGTGACAATTAGAAAACACGATGTAGAAAGTGAAATCCATGTGACCTGATAACAAAGTGGCACAGATGCTCCGAGGTAATGCTCTTCACATGAAGAGAACCATGAATGAGCCTAGAGCTTTTCTGTAAATCTCATGAAGTCAAGGAAACAGGTACGACGGTTCTACGATTTGAACGTAGGGCCTTATCATTTGACATAATAGAATTTAGAGACGGCGAAACATAGCAGCGAAGCGTTTGTAACTTTGGCCATATCTGTAAGTTTGTAACTGAATGCAGCCTTTTTTCTTAGTGTCACAGCAAAAGTGCCGCAATGTTGTGCAGGGGTTGAAAAAAATGCTTCGCAAAATTTATACCTTTTTTTTAATATAGTTTGTCATTATCAAGGCCTTAACAGCTGTCAAAGAACAATTATCATTTTCTTTGACATTGTGCATGAGAAAGGTAGCACCAGATTCATCACCAAATTCTTTTGTAGCTGTACTAGATAGGACAAGACCGAAGTTAATGAGAAATTGTGGGCAGGCATAAGCATACCTAAGGTGTTCGTATCAAGAAATCCAACAGACTAGTTAGTAGTTGATTTACTCCTTCTGCAGCCAGAGATCTAAGCATCTAACCACTACAACTGGTAATAGTCAAGTACAATTTTGTTCGATCAAGTCGAACTTAATCGAGAGCACATTGACGGACAGGCAGAGAAATGTGTTCAAACTTGGATAGATGAATACATATATTTCGAGAGCAACGTCGAGAGTGTGATCGTCAATGTCCTGTCAAAATTAACCCGGACCTTACGAAAGTTACATGCAAATTAGTTCAATGGATATACATATAAAGATTATTAGCTGATCTTGACAAATGTTAAGTTGAAATACGTGAATAATACTGCAGTTGCACATTTATTTGAGCAGATTTTGATTCAATGAATATATATTGCTCGCAGATTTAACCACAGTAATTGAGCTCATAAGATTTGCATTGTGTCTCTTTCTAGCATTTAAAATAAGGGAGTGCATTTAATTGGCGTTTGTCCCAAAGCACACAAAGATCTCTTTTAGTGCGTTTGGCATCAAATTGTGAGGTCACCATTAGCATTGTAAAGCATACGCATGATATAAACAGGTGCTAGTTATCCAAATTGTTTTTTATGCAAAGTGAAGAAAGCGTAATGATAATTAACAACAGCGTTTTTTGCATGGTTCAACTAAGAAGTAGGCGATAAATTTTCACGATGGTGGCAATGCTTGCTATTTTATGAAATGATATTCGTTAGCCAGAAATCTCAATTTCCGATCGTTCTGCTAAAATGGTCGTTTAGGACTTGCTCGATAATGTGAATAAAGATATTCCAGCTTTATTATTCGTAGCTCTTGTAATATTGCATTTGATAATATGGAGACTAATTCAAAGAGCTTTTAAAGTCCTGCTTAAAGTCTAATGAATCTGTCAAAATCTGCACAGCTATGTAAGTCTACGGTGAACTCGACCTAAAGGGTTTAAGGCGGATTAACACAGATGTAGCAGTAAATAGGATTCTATGTGTGCCTAACATGCCAATGTGGAGTATTTAAAAAGCATCGTGTCACCAATGCCAAAACCCAAAGTATCGATAAGCCGTCTTAAGGAAAGCCAAACCACCAGCAGAACTTCACTTTAATCAATTGTTTCGGTCTGATAGCATTGAAGACTCCAGCTTAGCTGGACATCGGAGAGTTGACGTCGCTGATGACAAATAATTACATTCATGCAGCAAGTGCACCAGTAACACAGTCAGTTTCAGTAACTGTAACTTTAAATGATTCGTAGTACAAACCTGACAGTCTCAAACTTTTCACCCATTTCTTCAATCACACACTCACTACAGTTCCCATGTCCAACGCTAATACCAACTCCCTTTTCCAACATATAGATGATTTGTCAAAATTTGTGCACTTATGTTAGGGAAGAAGATGATTTTGACCAGATGGACGAAGTCGGAATAACGAAGATGAAGCTGTAAGCAGGAGGATACAGCAACTACTAACTGAAGTGGCGTATTTTAGGAATTGCGTAAGCAATGACGGAATCCGAAGCCACGATAAGTCATCATATGGAAAGCTCAATCCCCTAAAAGAACACTTTTTTTATATTGCTCTTTTTGAGAGCTGTTGTCAATAGTGGCAATACGCAACCGTCTGTTACCTAAATAACAGATTCAGTGAAAATCTTTGCATAATTAGTCAACGTTGCGTAAAAGTTGGCAATTTGAATATTTTTTTATGAATAGTCAGTACTAATTTCCGCAAATTGTTAAATTTCACATTACCTATTTTAAATATCATTTACCGCCTTCAGAGTCACACTTTCGAGACTCAGTTTTAACAAGCAGCCTAAAATACGTTTCTTTTCTGCATCATTTTTTTCCTGTTTTCTTAGTTCTACCTGAAATTATTCAATACTAATGCCTGTATAGAATATACCATCTAGCACGGTTTCAATGGTCAACCCAAAGTTCTCCTCACACTCACCTTCAACACAACTTCATGCATTCTAATCTTAACGGAAATCAGTACGTGGTTTCCATTCCATGAAGCACGAACACGAGAACACACAAATTACTAATGCTCAATAAGTGAGGACAAATGTGCCAGCAATCAAATGCCGTCGAAAATGAAAATGGGTGACACGTACAGTAAAGTGAAGGAAAAGTGTAAGTGGTTTCACATTTCTTCATTCGCTGGTGTTGCCTCTGAATTACTTCTCTAGTGCAAGTCTTAGAGCATTGACAGCACCCCTGCACCGAGGTACTCACTAAGAATGTAAAGGTAGGTATTACGATCCAAGGTGGCCTCGAACATCTCCAACCATCGGAGATGCGTCGACACGACAGTGTGCGTTTGAAATAGCAATTCATGAGGGTGAAGGTTAGACTCTGTGACAGCAACGAGGGATATGGGCGGCTCTAAAAGCAGACACGAGTTGTAGACTTAAACTGCGACTAGAGCATTAAGGCCAGTAAACAAGCACATTCACGAGGCGGAGGATGCAACCTTGTGTGTGTTAGATCGTCCACTAAGATTAGGCAACAGAAAATAACTTTAAAGGAATCTCTGCAGTTCACTGTGATTCCACGAGTGAACGTCGCCAGTTTGCGTGTTTGCGAACACAAAGCGAGGTCCCAACGTTATGACTTCCCCACCAGTCAATACATTTTCAGTTGCAATTATAACCCTTCCTAATTAGCATAAGCTAATGGAGATTGACGTAACTGCAATTTACTTGAATCACACTCCACAGCCAAAACAGGATTTGAATGTACATAACTTTTTGTATGACAATCTTAACAATAGCAGCAAAATTCATGGTTTTTGCAAATGTGTGGGTTTGTCCACTGCCACTTCTCCCAGGCATGGCGTGAGTTGTTAAACCAGTAGACAATACGGTAATGATGACGAAAACTTTTTATTATGAAAATGGCCTCAGAAGCTAGCCGTACACCAGGATTTGCAAAATCCATTTTGATCACAATCACCGACTATTAAATTAAGGACAAGATTAACCGTTAGATGATTTTGGACAGGCATTTCAGAAAAAGGTGTAGTAATACGCCAATACTTCTATTCTGGTGAAATTACCGATTTGCAATATATTTGATCAATGTAGCCCATTTCACTGTGCGATATTAAAAAGATCACTTTATAAAAATTGTCTCAGAATTCTTCCAAATCAGAAAAAGTAAACGGTGGTGGAAGCTTAGAAAATAATCCACATTGCATTAGACGGTGTACGAACGGAAGCATACACTCACCAGTGACGATATCTTGGGTCCTAAGCGTAATCGAAGGCTGTCTGCCCATTGTCTCTTCTATGATGAATTCGTAAAAATTTTCCTTGGTCTAACGCTAACGATCGTATTTATACATGTATCTTAGTGTTAACTTTGGAATCACGTGAAAAAGGTCCAAATGAATATTAAAAACAGCCAGGAAGCCTAAAGTTCAACAGGTCAGTCGTAACAAATCCGTCTGATATTAACAATGTGAGACTAACTATTTCGCTTGGCATTGCAACCATACAGAGAAAAAGTATTTTCTTGGAAGAATATTTAGTAGCGCAATTGAGTCTACGTGACGTAAATTTGAAATGGTCGGCCAACGCGTTCTACTTGTTCCCAGAATTTGATGAGTCTTCACTCTCAGTAAATTGCAAAAAGCGGTAAGCTGGCAGTATTTTATCAGATAGAGGTGCAATAAGCGTTCTCGGTTGTAGCAGTTCCGAATGGATGGGATTGTGTCAATAGACCTTCAGTCACAGCCGCAGTGCACAGAGACAAAAAGTATTGCAATAATAGTACTAAACGCCTTTAATGCTCAATGACTCTAAATGGTAGAAGTTGAGTATGTAAGGGGTCACGCTGTCTTGGCTGAGGTAACTGAGCACAGAGCATTAGCATTGAGAGTCTACGTCGGTCCGTTGCTAAACGGTGAACTGGGATAAGGCAGTGCTTGCTCCACTTCTTGACTTGTATCTGACGAGATACTTCCTCCTTTCTGGTGTAACTCCGTCGTGTGATCGTACTGGTGACCATATTGGCAATCGGATTCAAGGGTGACCGTCGCACATTTACTTGTTGCCTTTTAGAACGTTGCTAAATTGGCTCACATAATTGTTCATTTTATAAATCCGCATACATGGAATTGTCAAGAAAGCAGATTTGTACCGGTTCAGTTCATGCTCAGAATTAAACGCTTAGTACTGCGAAAAGAGAGTGATTCCGGTTACAGTAACTCTAAACAGTTACCAGTCAGACAAAAATGAGCATTAAATATTAGTAAAACGATTTTTTTTATGATGCTTTTTGCACTACACGTGGTTAATCTAGATAAGATTAGGCAAAAAATTAGGCATTAAACGATTTCTAGCCTTGTCTAATGCCATTGAAATCTGCATCAGCGGAGGAGGGTTTGTTGTCATGTTTCAAACAGTGTCTATAACGTCACTGAGACATACTTAAGAGCCTGACATAACCACATCTACCTTACAAATGCGAAAACGCTGTAAATGTTTGTCGTTCCACCAACATAATCAACAGGAACATCACAAAAAAATGCGCATGCATGCGGCAGCGCCCGCGGAATTTAAATGCGATCGCCTAAGGAATTCATCCATTAACTCCGTCAATTGCAAGCGCATCATTCAATATGCAACTAGTCTATGCAAAAATAAAAACAACAGTTTAACATGACTGAAATGCATTTCTATAATATTCGCCATTCAAATTAGCTTCAATAAATTATTCGTAAGCCCACTGGCCACTCCATTTAGGAGCACACACTTTGCTCGAGACATGCTCCTTAATGTGCATTTTACGCATCTAATAATTAACGTAACAAACTTGCCTAAACAAAGTGCTAAATTTATATCTTATCCAAAGAAATGGATTCGTTCAAGCTTAGATACAAAGTGGAAAAATTTGATAAAGGCTATCGGCAGGTACTCAACAGCTTTCAGTTAACATGTTTAAACGTTTTCTGGACTTGCGGTTTGAGAAAAGCTACTTTTGATCCAAAATAAAAACAATGCTGAATTCAAATTGACCCAATTATTGCGCGTTTGGGTGTGAGGTCGATTCATTGTGTGCATTGTTTGTTTTAGCAAAATGTTTTGGTAAATTCTGATGCTGCTTTCTTTTTTAATAGTAGCAAACACGATGTTTTAAGTTGTGTTTTTGTTGCGAATTTAAATGATGGCAAAACACTAAGTTTTGTCATAGTGGCAGAATATGATTGGCTTTCTAACCGCAAATCTAGACACCAATACTTAGTTACAAATTTCACAACCACTTCTCTTCCACTTTGTACACAAAATCTACCTGTCAGAAGTAAATTTAAAGCAATCACTAACCATTTTTAACACTGACACTTTTCTAATCCAGACACGCATTCTGACCGTTATAAAAACTTCAACGGAGCTTGGATAATGCACCTATGGCTTTTAATATGTCGTGATGAACCTCAGCTCATTTGTGTAGCTTAACTGAAATATATTAAAGTCAGCTAAACTTTGATGAATGATGGTGTAAAGAAAATAAGAAAATAACCAGCATAGAGTAAAATCAGAAGTAGGTCAAATCAAATGAGGCGTAAAACCCACTCTTATCCCCGAGTATGCATTCGGGATATAGGTCAGTCACATGTTTTTTGGTCTTTTGAGGCAAAACGATTCTTAAACGTTTTAGCTGCATTTAGTCACTTCCTTTGTGTTGCAAATATTTTATCTAGTCCAATCAGCAAAGGTGATAATGACTGTTGTACGCGTTATGTCCAAGAATAATATCTAATTTTTTCGGGTTGCATGTGATCATAGCTAGTGTTTTTCAAACAGTTATGTTAACAAGTTCGATTTATGCAACTGCGTTTTATCAACTCTTATTAAAGGTCTTCGCGTTAATCACTAAATCTACATCTTCACAACTGCATTGTTGTCTCAATAAGCGACATGTAATCCATGGGCACTCAAACTGATTATCTTTTATAAAAAAAACAAGGACAATTACAGATAACCAATTAACTAAACATGGTGACTTTTTTCGGCTCGTACGGCTCCCTGCTTGGCCCAAGAAGGCTGGTCATCGAAAATAGTGACACACAAAAGACACGAATGAATAAACCATGCCGTGAAACTGGAAGGTGTGGTGACTAAAGAACCAATTATTGTATATTTCAATGGTGACCCGACTTTGACCCTACAAGTGTGCATTCGAATAAAAGCAGTTGTGTGCAAGATTATCCAAGCAAGATAAATCTAGCAAGCATGATGTGGCTACAAGAATTTAGAAATCGCATTTCATCTGGATTTTGGTGCACAATTGGCACTACCAACAATGGCATTTCCACAGTATCCTTCGGACGTGCTGCTTAACGTTTATTTTGCAGAGTATAATTGATTAGCTACTTATAATTTAGTTGGCACATTCAGATTACACTTTGAAGCAGGAAATTGCCAACCACTAGAAAGTTGATATACCTTCAACATCAACTCTACCAGCTGTTGAACCTCACACTACTCTCTGTGAGTGAAGAAAGGTAGAAACAGTCATCGTATCGCTACTCCTTTTTAAGGCTCTACATGGAAGAACAAATATCAAAAACACAGTTCGTGGCTCAAAGTTTTCGTTGCTAATCATGTGCAGGCTTTACTAACAAGAAGAGATTTTTTCCGTAATTAGTTACTAAAATGTGCTAACATTAACTTAGAAGAAAGCACTAATTGCTGGTTCATGTGAATCCAAAAAGGTGCTACTATCAGTAACAAACACATCCGGACACTAAAAATACTATGCTAATCGGAGATTTCGAACAGATGCGTAGTAATGCTTTGTGAAAGAATACAATCACACCTTGTACGGGGCCAATTTTACTAAAAAAAACGTGAGCAGACATAACCAAACCATTACTGGATAAATCAAACAATCAAGAAAGGTAGCTAATTGTTTGTTTGCTGCATCGGTGGACCGATGTGTAAATATTCAACTAGCAAAATTGCCTAAGCTTAATCAAGGGTACATTGACGCATAGGCAGTGGAATGTGTTCGAGGCTGGGCAGATCAAAATGCACGTCATGAGCAACTTCTTCAGTGTGATAGTCAATGTACCATCTGAAGTAACCAGAAATTATTTTTAAATTTACAAACAAATAAGATCAGTACGGTCACCTATTAAGACTGCCGACGTGTGATCATTAGCTGACATCTTCACAAATGCGAAGTTGGGGAAATTTGTTTAACACCGCAGTTGCTCTTTATCTAAGACTAACGTAATCAGATGAATCTGACGAAATGTGATGAGGGGGTAAAAGGTGGCACTCAAAAGAAAATTATCCCGCTTGTGTGAATCTCTATGAGGTTAATATATTTGAATCGATACATTTTTAAGAATGAAACGTCCGCTTTTAACTTGAACAGTTCGAAGTCACTTTGAAGTCTCGAATATTCTGTCTCGTCTGCTGCTTAGGAAATAATTCCTAATAAGTATACTTGCAAGATGCCAATATGATTTAACCGTCCGACGACGACTACTCAATTCGCTCAATCATTCGTGCTAATTCATTTTTATGGCCTCAAATCACCCACACCACACTTATGACCTACTACTCAGAAATTCTATGGTAAAGAAAAGGTTAGTCCATTCCATTCGCTAAGGGGAAAAGCTACGTAGATCGTTGGCCCTGGTGTGGCTCCTAAAACCTCCATCGACAGCATAACCCGTTTCGAACTGTCTCGACCTTAAGCCCAGGCATATTCATCTGCATATT